TGGGTGCTTATTCAGATGGTGATTATACGGCGCTTCACAACCTGTCTTCATAATTTCTTGTTCACGAAGCGTTGGGGCACATCTTCGTTTATAGCGGTTATTTCAAGTTGACCTGAGTTTAAGGTCACAAGCGAGGTTTGCGTGACTGGTGGTTTGTGTGACTTTAACCAGAGACCATATAATAGAGGGACGGCCCTCCCCAACAGTTTATCACTAACCATCAGCGCTACGGCCTGGCATGTAACTGATACACATCTATTATATGGTCTCTGCTTTAACTGTGGAATGGGCTAGACTCGCATTTCAATTGTGGCTAGTAAATATAACAAAGTAACATTCTCACAAACATGAATAGCTCTTTAGAATTTTAAGCAAGTAGCCCGATGAGCGTTTACAAATACACGTGTGCTGTAATGTAAGTTATTGCCGTTGACATGAAGGGTGACAACTCCTTAGACCTTGGGTGCTTTTTACACCAAGCGTGACTTCATTACAGGTGACATTTTGCCGAGTGCGATGTTGATATAGTGACACGACCATTACAATAACAATAGCAATCCCGGCTTAAAGCAGAGTCGAGCATACCTTCCGACTATACTATAAGCATTTGTTTGTCAATCAATGAAATACCAAATGCTCACGGAAAGAATTTTTAACAATGGTGTTACGTTAATCACCTTTACGACGCTTTTTGCAATATGCCAGCAGTGTCACAGAATACACGGTAGCAGTTGACATCAGAAATGTGCCCATATGGGGAATCGAACCATTCCCTTCAGCGCACCGAGCGAACGTTTGAACCACTAGGCTACCCCCACCTGGCCCATCCACCTTGATTATGTTGGGTAGCATGGAGAAGAATGATTAACGAATTTTCATTTCCTACGTCCAAGCATTTGAAACTTTTTGTTACGCTGCCTGCCATGACAACGTCTTGATTTACTAAAGTGAAAAGAAACAACGCTTTACATAGTGAGTTTGTGGGGTTTTTTGGTTTTAATGTTGTTGTTTGTGTTTGTTTTGTTGTTTGTTTGTTTGTTTGTTTTTATTGGGTTGGGTTGGGTTTTTGGGGGGGTATTTATTTTATTTTGTTATTATTATTTATTTTTATTTTATTTCTTTTTTTTTCTTTTATTTTATTTATTTTTATTTTTTATTTTATTTTATTTTTATTTTTATTTTTATTTTTTGGGGATGTAGGAGGGAATCAAACCCGGGTGTTCGGCGTAACGAGCGAACATTTTAACCACTAGGCTTCCCCACCACCCCTAAACTGGCATTATGACCAAAATATGAAAATGAAGAATCCAAGCTGTTAAAGTATTCGCTCGTCACGACAAAGGTACAGGTTCGATTTCATATATGCGTACAACGTGTGAAGCCGATTTAGGGTCTTCCCTTAGTGGTATATCTGGAATATTACTGATAGGGGCTTAGAAAATATATTATTTACAGCAAAAGGTTACGTTGCGATATTTTTTAATAAACATGAAATCTGACTCATCAGGAACAAGAAAGGAAAGGAAACAGGTATTTTTATCTCACATGTATGAAATCTGACAATGCGGTTCTGTCAACCATGAAGATAAGTGTGTTTTTCCTTGTACACTTAATGCATCGCTGCTATTGTACTGTCAAAGCGTGGCGTGTTGTCACACATGCTATCAATGCATGAAATATTACATAATTGGCTACACGGAAAACTCTCAAGCCAAAGACAGTTTAACCGCTCCTTTCTTATCCCTTTGTGTTTCTGATGTTGAGGCCATGTACACTACTGGGCAAAAGAAGGTTACCCCAAAAAAACATTTTTAAAAACAATAACTGGTTTGTTTTGTTTGTTGTTGTTTAACGCCGCTCTCAGCAATAACTACATAACCATAGTTGTTTGTAGTGTCTCTTCTCACTTTCACACGAGAAAATTCGGATCGGCTGAAATGGACGTCATTGTCTGAATTGCTTCATGAGACTCGCGAGTCCACCTTCTAATCATATATTGTTTGTTGGACTAGAAGTTCTGGCCCAACAACAATACATGATAGTTGTGTAACGTCGTACTCAGCAATATACCAGCTAGATGTATGTGGCAGTGGTTTGTAAATAGAGTCTGGACCAGACAATCCAGTGATCAGCAGTGATCATCGATATACGCACTTGGGATACCAAATCAGCGAGTCTGACCACCCGATCCCGTTAGTCGCTCCTTACTACAAGCGAGGGTTGCTGACGATACCTTAATACAACGATAGTTTTAACAATAACAATACGATAATCTTAGGCTAAGATCGTTTCTGAAAATCTTGCACCTGTGTAATAACTTTGAAACGTATTACTAAAATATGTCATTGTCGAACATCTCGACTATACCGGTATCTGGAACGGATTCTCCAACTCATCACAATACAAATACATATGTTTCTGACTAAGTCGAATTCGATATACAAAGACAAATCGCGATCTCAACTGAGACTTATCTACATTAAAAATCTTCGTGTCGAACATTCGGTTGACGCGAAATTTTAGAATGTCGGTCCCAGTGCATTCTTACTTAAGTCATTATTTCGCGGTTGTACGACTCTTGATAACTCGAAGTAATTAAGTACGTCCCTTCAAGTTCGACACAACGGTACTGAGTGTGTATAATGCTGTACCTTATCTAGAAGTTGCATTAACTGCAGATGTTGTAGACAGGGGGCCTCTGGTTACAACATGCAGATAATAAAAAGCGTTGTTTGACCACCGAATTGTGTTGTGTGTGAATAATCTGCCTGCTATATAATGCTAGAGAAGAGATTTATTGTCCACAGAAGTGGCATGTTTACATGCAAGATTCACCACTGGCCTGGTTGGCGTGAAGTGTGTTGACTTGAGGACTTCCTGCTTTGACAAAGGAATCATCTACCAATTGAGAACAGTCACCTACTTTCTCCGCGTCGTGTAGGGACGGTGGGGTAGCCTTGTGGTTAAAGCGTTCGCTCGTCACGCCGAAGGCCCGTGTTCGATTCCCCACATGGGTACAATGTGTAAAACCCATTTCTGGTGTCCCCAGGTATTGCTGGAATATTGCTAAAAGCTGCGTAAAACTACACTCACTCACTCACTCACTCTTTTACCCGACAGTCTATAACTGCATCTCACACGTAAACGTCTCCACCTCAATGCCATCAAATATAAGATAGAAAAGTAGAAATTTGTCTGTATGTTGATTTACGCCACACTCAGCAATATTCCAGCTAAATTTGCCAGTAAATAATCGAGTCTGGACCAGACAATCAAGTGATTAACAGCATGAGCTTCGAACTACGCAAAGATAACAAACATGAAACAAGTCAACTGGTCTGGCCACCTGTTACCACGGGGAGCTGAAGACCAATTCTAAGCCAGATCCACACGAATATTATCATTATGAAAAATGATTGTTAGTTGGTGATTTAAAGTATGGGTACGCAATCGGGATACAATGACATGTGTCAACCAAGACCCGATACCGTTACAGAAGAAGGAAGTGTTTATATTTGTCTAATGGTGGGTAAAACAAACAGCATTAAAACAAGGCGACCCGATCCTCTTCAAAAACGTGCTGCAGACACCATGAGTCACAACTTCAGAGATTTGACACCAGCTCCTACTTAAACAGTTAGTGGCTTAGTATAGGGTGTGTTTACATACATGCCGCTCTATGTACCTGGAATATTGTTGGTGGCTGTGTTCCACATCAAATAACATGTGTCCTAATGCGACCTACTTTATTTACAAGTACGCATGCGGATACAAAATATACGATGTGCCGAAGATGTATGTATGTATGTATGTATGTATGTATGTATGTATGTATGTATGTATGTATGTATGTATGTATGTATGTATGTATGTATGTATGTATGTATGTATGTATGTATGTATGTGTGCATGCGTGCGTATGGATGGATGTATGTGTATGTATGTATGTGTGTGTATGTATGTATGTATGTGTATGTATGTATGTATGTATGTATGTATGTATGTATGTATGTATGTATGTATGTATGTATGTATGTATGTATGTATGTATGTATGTATGTATGTATGTATGTATGTATGTATGTATGTATGTATGTATGTATGTATGTATGTATGTATGCGTGCATGCGTGTGTATGGATGGATGGATGTGTGTATGTATGCGTATGTGTATGGATGGATGTGTGTGTATGCATGTGTGTGTATGTATATGTGTGTGTGCGTGCGTGCGTGTGCGGCCAAAGCATGTTAATCTAACTGTAACAGCACATAAAAGGTATGCCGAATAACATTACAATATATTCGATAACTGTAATGTACCTTCTGATGTCCATTTCCAGACGATGTAAGGGTCGTGGTGTCGCCTTGTGGTTCGAATCCGGGTTAGAATTGGACTTTAGCAACCCATGCTTGTTGTAAGAGGCGTGGTCAGGCTCGCTGACTTGGTTGACACATGTCATCGTGTCCAAGTTAGGTACATCGATGCTCATGATGTCAATCACTGGACTGTCTGGTCCAGTCTCAAGTATTCGCAGACCGCTGCCATACAGCTGGACAATTGCGTAGTGCGGCGTTAAACAACATACATGTGAGTGAGAGAGTATGGTTTTTACGCCGCTTTTAGCAAAATTTCCAGTAATATCACGGCGAGGGTCACCAGAAATGGACTTCACATATTGTACCCATGTCGGGTCTTCGGCGTGACGGGCGAACGCTTTAACCACTGGCTGCCCCACCGCCTCGAATCCTAAGAGGGGAAGAACCCATGAACAAGCAGTACATGTAGTTGGGGAAGGGACTGCAGTTTGTTTGTAAATAAACGGAAAAAAAGTTCGCATCATATAGCTGAAGGATTTTATTATTTTTTTACTTTTATATATTTCTTGCGCGACTGCTGTCTTCTTGGTTGAGGTTTTGAAACACATAAAGTTACGTATGGTCTCCAGTCAATGGCGGAGGTTTGTGTTCCACAGGTTTGTGTTCAACAGGTATGTGTTCCGCTCATTGACGAGTGTCATATACCTGTGACGGCAGTTCACTTCCTGGTCAGGCAAGGCTGCCATGAAACGACAACGGCAACAGTAGACGACGTGTGATGCTGTTATGGCTGCTGCATTTGGTCTAGTTTTGGCTCTCATTGTTGGACTAGCACAAAAGTCAGGTAAGATTGGTTTCCTGGGAGTATAGATGTTATTGTTGGACTAGGGCACAACACAGGTAAGATTGTTCTCACTGGAATGAATACACGTTTTGAGACAAAGCTCGACTGAATATGGCATCGTCGGGGAAGTACATGGAGACGGATGTATAGAGGGAGAGACGCCCATAGTTTATGGTGAAGACTCAAACATACCTTTTCTCCGCTGTCAGAAGCCAGGCAATATTGTTTCGAGTAACTCATTGAAGGGATTAAACACTGACAGATGGGAAGTACGTGCGTGTCTAATATTGCCCTGACAGTACATACCCCGGACTAATGTCCACTATCATACTGTTGTAGGGACTAATTTAGGACAGCCATCGTCCAAATATTTAAAACGTCCAAAACTATGTACTCAAGACATGTGAGACTTTATTGTAATATATATATGACTCTGACCTGTAATCTTAATCAATACTGTACATCCTTATCACTACCGCATTGTAAATTGACTTGACAGACCATTAATTATTGTATAAGACATGTAAAGCCTTCATTGGTAATCCCCCTTGGTCGTGTCTGCCATCACATCAACTGGTCAAGGAAGTGCTATTGTTTTTCTGTCTGCCCATTGATGAGTCGTCGCCTGTCCATTGTTGTCCAAAACTGTATATATACTTAGTATGCTCACATCTAGACAGTGAAGGAGTACTAGTTCGGTATTTGGACTGTCTGTTGGGACGACCACGAGCAGCATAATGCCGCTCGTATGAAACGCCCTGGGGTTGAGCAGGTACTCCGCTCACCTCGCTCATGTCTTGTGTATTTGTTTGTCATGTACTAAAGACGTTTGAACTCAACTATGCCTTCGTCTTCATCAACGCACACTTCATCTTAATTATGAGCTAATTCCCCAGTTGACGCATATCCACGCGTTGACAATACCATGCAGTCTACGGGTTAATATCCCACCCAGGCAGTAGCTGAGCGGTTAAAGGTCACATGCAACCAAAAAATCAAACATAATTAAAACACAATTATCACTTATTCATGACATATGATATACATTGCTGATTATTAAAAAACATATAAACAAAATTATAAGCGTACAATTGCAAATCAAAAGTGCAATATTTTGTACTTGGGTTTACTTCCCTCGAAACGAAACACCCGGGATACCGAACCCAGTCAGAGCGGGTGGGTGGGCACTCAAGTGTAACGAAGCCTTTCATTGGCTGGTTCTTTTGCCGATGATGTATATAGAGATGTTGGGTTTTGTAAATACATACTCATTTTTTGTGTATAACATTTTTCAATCAATAGACACCATAACATGTCATATGTGTACAAGTATCACACCTGCCTGTCTGTGTAATTGCATAATGTGACAGAGACCGAACTCGGGCCATAAATTAATGCGTTTTATTTATGGTGTATAGCTTGATAGGTGTTGATAGTTCAAATTGCATGTGGTCAGTGATCGAAGTTGTGTATTGAATATTGTCATTAGCAGACAGGCAGGCAGGCAGACACATAGGTGTCAATAAAACAGACATTGAGTTTTGTCTGTGACAACGACATATCACAGTCAGAAATTCTGTCAATGCTAAATAATGACATTGCTTTTAAGTATCGAACTGAGAAAGTGACTCGGTAAGAAGAACGTGTGGTGAAATAGACAAATGAAATTATATAAACAGTTAAATCGGTAATCTTCTGTCATAACATAAAAAGCTCGCGCCTGTGATATATCAACAAATCATTAGAAAAATAGCTCACATCAAAGCCTTCACCGAGTATTCACCGCCAGCGAAGGTTTTCCGTCTTGAAATGTCGAACGCCTCCACTGGTTGACACATAGCTGAGTAGATCTAGATCCTAACAAGGTTCTTTTATGTAATGAGTAGATTATTTACTGTTTGTTTTGATTAGACTACTCCTGCTCACGACCTTATAATCCGGACATCCCGCTTCCAAGCTGCGCGAACCTATTTCACTGCGCTTGCACTATGAGCGCAACCCAGCGTAGCGCAGCACAGCTGTTGAAACCACTTTTCACCCAAAGCGCTGGGGTGAATTTAGTGAATCGTTTGAACTCCGATTTCGTGGGGGTTTTCAACTTTATAGGTTGAATTTGCATTTTTTATGATTTGCATCTGTAAGTCCATACCGAAAGGTATCAGAATCTGCAAAGTTGTGTTTTACGTTGCATGTGATCTTTAAAGTGTCCGCTTGTCACGCCAAAGACTCGGGTTCGATTCCCCATGGGTACAATGTGTGAAGTCCATTTCTGGTGTCCATCGCTGTGCCATTGCTGTAATGACGATAAAGGCGGCGTAAAAGCTTCCTCGCTCACTCACGCACTCAAGCACTCACTCACTCACCCATTCAGTCAGTGTGCGAAATAGCCACTGGCCCGCTAGCCCGTGGCTAGTAAAAATCCAGTCTGGCTAGTAAATCTCCACAGTCACTGACCCGACAGGCTAGTTAATTTTCATGGGGTCATTTTGTAAATATGTTACTCTCTACGACCTGTTTAAGTTATAATACAATTTTAAATCATGCAAGATATTGGCCTGATAGAATTGTTCATCATATTAGCAGCTTAATTGTGAAACCCCTGTCATGCCGACAATATCTTATTCTCATCTATTTTGGTAATCGTTTGCTTAGTTTCTTCATTCGGGCTAGTGAATTATTTTGTGGGCTAGTAACTTTCAGGCAAAGCTAGCCCGACTGGCAAGCAAAAATTGGAAACTATTTCTCACATTGGTCACAACAATACTGATTGCATTCCGACCAGAGTTCTAATCTACCGTTAATGTCGAAAGCCAAACAATTACAGTTGAACCACCGACGAGGCACATGCTCTATCCACGAAATCAGTTCCTATGGCAGAAAGGCCCTGTCTATGGGTAGGTGAAGAGTCGGATGGTGGGTGGAAAACACGTGGAAGACGGACCTATCTACGTATTGAGCGACGTGATAGATGAGTGGATGGGTGGGTGACTGGATGGATGGATGTGTGGGTGACTGGATGGATGGATGTATGGGTGAATGGATCTGTGGGTGACTAGATGGATGGATGTATTGGTGAATGGATGTGTGGGTGACTGGATGGATGGATGTATGGGTGAATGGATGTGTGGGTGACTGGATGGATGGATGTATGGGTGAATGGATCTGTGGGTGACTGGATGGATGGATGTATGGGTGAATGGATGTGTGGGTGACTAGATGGATGGATGTATGGGTGAATGGATCTGTGGGTGACTGGATGGATGGATGTATGGGTGAATGGATGTGTGGGTGACTAGATGGATGTGTGGGTGAATAGATGGATATGTGGGCGACTGGATGGACGGATGGATGGGTGGATGACTGGATGGATGGATGTGTGGGTGACTGGATGGATGGATGTATGGGTGAATGGATCTGTGGGTGACTGGATGGATGGATGTATGGGTGAATGGATGTGTGGGTGACTAGATGGATGGATGTATGGGTGAATGGATCTGTGGGTGACTGGATGGATGGATGTATGGGTGAATGGATGTGTGGGTGACTAGATGGATGTGTGGGTGAATAGATGGATATGTGGGCGACTGGATGGACGGATGGATGGGTGGATGACTGGATGGATGGATGTGTGGGTGACTGGATGGATGGATGTGTGGGTGAATGGATGGATATGTGGGCGACTGGATGGACGGATGGATGACTGGGTGGATCTGTGGGTGACTGGATGGATGGATGGATGTGTTGGTGACTCGATGGATGGATGGATGGATGGATGGATGTGTGGGTGACTAGATGGGTGGATGACTGAATGGATGGATGGGTGACTGGATGGATGTGTGGGTGACTGGATGGATGGATGGAGGTGAGGTGAAATTGGGTTTTACGTCGTGCTTGAGAATATTTCTCTCATATGACGACGTGCATGCGTGTGTATGTGTATGTGCGGCCGATTGTACTAGCCAGTTTTATAGACTCAAGCTGGTTTTATTGTGCTAGCTCACTGAGATACCATGCCGCAGTGAAGCATGAATACCCAACTCAGACACATTATACTGACTCCGAGCCGACCAGTCCTTGTTGTACCCATTAATGCCGAGCGCCTGGCAGGGACCAACAAGTACCATATTTTAACGTCTTTTGGGATGACGCGGTCGGGGAACGAACCCACGATCTTCCGCTCTCCGGGTGGACGCTCTAACCACTACACCACGGAGGCGGCCTGGATGGATGGATTGGTGGGTGACTGGATGGATGGATGTGTGGGTGACTGGATGGATGGATGTGATGGGTGACTGGATGGATGGATGGATGTGTGGGTGACTGGATGGATGGATGGATGTGTGGGTGACTGGATGGATGGATGGATGTGTGGGTGACTGGATGGATGGATGGATGTGTGGGTGACTGGATGGATGGATGGATGTGTGGGTGACTGGATGGATGGATGTGTGGGTGACTGGATGGATGGATGGATGTGGGTGACTGGATGGATGGCTGGATGTGTGGGTGACTGGATGGATGGATGGATGTGTGGGTGACTGGATGGATGTGTGGATGGTGGGTGACTGGATGGCTGGATGTGTGGGTGACTGGATGGATGTGTGGGTGACTGGATGGATGGCTGGATGTGTGGGTGACTGGATGGATGGATGGATGTGTGGGTGACTGGATGGATGAGTGGGTGACTGGATGGATGGCTGGATGTGTGGGTGACTGGATGGATGGATGGATGGATGTGTGTGTGGGTGACTGGATGGATAGATGTGTGGGTGACTGGATGGATGGCTGGATGTGTGGGTGACTGGATGGATGGATGTGTGGGTGACTGGATGGATGTGTGGGTGACTGAATGGATGGATGGATGGGTGGGTGACTGGATGGATGGATGGATGGGTGGGTGACTGGATGGATGTGTGGATGACTGGATAGATGGATTAGGATGAATGGATTGATCGAATTGTGGCACAATGTCCCGATAAACAGGCTGTCTGTTTTGTGGT